AAAGCCTTTATATGAGCTGAATGGGTAGAGCTCAGATGAAGCCTGTTTGTTCTCCTGAGTACATGAACATTACAACACTTAAGTGCAGTTCTAATGCTTAAATAGCAGTTGTCTTTCGTTTTTCAATTACACCAAAAGCCACAATGTGAGACTCTTAACCTCGTTAGGAACAATTAACTCATATCATGGTTAAGTGGTGGTAATGTTTGTTCAGGGAAAATGTCATCAGACTCACTTTATGAGGGCAAGCTATCGTCCGGGGAGCGTCGTCCTCTTTGACTTTCCTGGGTTTCATTCTGTTTGGAATAAAAGGGACATGGTGAGGAGTTTTAACAAACACAAATAAACACATGTTTCAATGCCATCCCATCATCACACGCACCCATGTTAGCTACTGGGAGTTCAATGTTGAGTTTCTTAGTTATCAAAAACAAGTTCCAGTGAGAGGTGTATGCTGCAGTAGCTATATCGCTGCTCGACATTTCAACAGTGGGAAAAAAACTCTGCTTTCCGTTTAACTGATTGACACTTACAAGACAAATAAATGCCAAAACAACATATTTTAATAATATTCATATCCTTGTCTAAATGTATTGGTTATTGCTCCTTTTCCCTGTGAGCTATTAACTTCTGATTGCACAAAATCAATTTAGAAAGGGCATCTTTTATTCGAGTATTTACTGACACTTTAAAAGACTAAACGATTAAATGACAAAATAATTGGATGAATAATCATTAATGAAAGTGTCTAGACGGACAATGACAAATCCTGGTGATTATTTGTTTATATTTTACTAAATTAACAACAGAATATACATCTAGATTTGTGCTCTTTTATTATGAGGTCCTATCAATAGTATACCTGGCACACAAAATACTACACACATACAGTAGACATATGTTTTACTTATTCTTACTTTTTGTTTTCATAAGTGATCTTGGTTTAAAAAATGTAATAAAAAAACTGTTGCTACACCAAAAATGAACATGCCATTTTTTGGCAACACAATTTCTGACAATTGTACCAGAGCCATCTTTGTACACAAAATGTCACCCCCTTCATTTAATTTCATTTGAATTAATAGCATTATATGTTTGAATTATTCCTCGCTGTTGTCCACAGTCACATTTACTCTCGGTTCAGTTCTGCAGGGACAGAGTCACACTCACCTGGCAAACTCAGCCAGCTGCTTGGGGTCTGACAGGTCGATCCCCGGGATGCCACCAGGGGGCAGCTTCTTCCCCGTCATGTACTCGGAGTAGTCTGGAGGGGAGTTCTCCCCGACGATCTGCTCCTCCACCACCGACTCATGGTCAATGTCTTTATTGTTATCTAGGAAAACATTACAGAGACTGAACCGATAACACAGTACTGTGTCCCTAACTGCAGACCTGGGGGGTGAAAATATCTGCAGCTGCACATCATTTGTTACAGTTAAAGTCACATTACTGTTGTATAGTTACTCTAATAATATATCTAAACACCAAATGTATTCAGAAAATTACTTACTTAGTTTATAATTTACACTAAAATCTGTTAAATTAAAACAAATGTTGAGACTAATATGTCTTCTTCTCAATAAATGAAAATCACCATATGGGGCAATTTGAATTACCTTTGTGCACAAACACAAACTGCCACACAAATATAAACTTTCTTCAACAGACATTAGTGCTATACTACAGATCAGGATAAAAACAACTGCATTCACTTCTGATCTGCTTTATAATAAAAGTCACATGCCTGCATGATTGTGGAGGAATCATGAAAATATGACATATTACTAAAAATGTGGAGTATTACCATACATATAAATAATATAAAAATAAGTTCATAGTTCCCTATTGCAGATAGTGTTGCACTTTTGACTTTGTAACTAAAATATGGTAAAACATTGTAATGCATTATGCAGGAAACTTTGAATTGACTTTGTGCACAAAAACACAAACACATGCTACACAAATATAAAGTTGCTTTAGCTGAGTGAACAGGACAAACCTATAAGTATTTCTAGGCTGAGTACAATAGTTAATTTTACTGATTCTTTTAGTCCAGATTTTGGACTTGATACTTACTAATACTACGTATTAACGTTGAATAATCGACAGCTTAACACATGCCAATGCCTTGACTCATTCAATTCAAATGTCTCTGCTCATTCAAATGACTCGACTCTAAAAACAGCTACAGATATTAGCTGTGTGCAAAGTGAACAGGCTTATTAGCAGTAATAACCAGTTTCTCTTATTGAGCAGTTTATTAAAACGAGTCATCACAGAAAACACAAGTTGTCTGATGTTATTAAATCCGAAATGCTAATGCTGGATTAGCCGCTGGTTAGTGTTGGTGTGCACACAGTACCATCACACAGGCTGCTAGCATGGTGCAGACGCTAGCCTGTGTGGCTAACTAGCACCGCCCGCACCCGGAGCTAACTGCTAAACCATTAACTGGCTAAATAGCACCTAGCTCAAATATTTCACACATTTTAAGCTTTCAGACTTAACGTGACTATTCTGCGGTGAATGAGCTGCATGTAAGCGGCGAATGTGCCTCAGAAGTGCGGCCTGGAGACACAGCAAACCCGGTCTGTCTCCGTCCCGAGCACCGCCGCCATCTCTGCCTGGCCGCGACTATCGCCATTTTTTCGGGGCCGCCGCCATACTTACTAGACTCTGGGAATATGGCGGCGCCCAGCAACACCTAAAACATGGCCTCCCTTCAAAACAAAAACATTTCGGAGTGATACATTGGGGCTCCGCATCGAGAAACGCGCAATGTTCGTCGCTTCTCACGGCGGTGCGACGGGACCACTCCAGGAACTAGTCTGGTGCAGCAGGACAACGCCCAGGCAACGAGGCCTCATGCAAAGGCTAACAGCGAAGCTGACAGAAGCGGCAGGGCCAGCGTTACTTACCCGATGCCCACATCGTGACAGAGAACTCCCCCTCCAGTGTCTTTATTTGCACCTGCTTCTGTTCCCATTTTCTCCCGCCGGCCTCCGCGCCACTAAGGTAGCTCTTTTTGCCCGTTTTCTTCCCACCGGCGCCGCCTGCCCGTTTCACCCGACCCACCGAGCTCTTCCCCGCCACAGTCACCAAAGTCTGCTCGATGTACTCGTCCTCCACCCCCGGAGCCGGTACCGGGATGAGGATCTGGTCCTCGAACCCGCCGCCGTCCGTGTGCAGGTCCGAGTCGTCCCCGCCGACCACCTCCTCCCGGGTCTGCACCAGGATCACCTCCTGGTGGTGATGGTGGTGGTGGTGGATCGAGTTGGGGTCGTCCGTGACCAGCGGCTGCAGCGCGATCATCGGCTGCCCGTCGTCGTCGTCGTCGTCTTCGTCTTCGTCGTCGTCATCCCCGCCGACCACCGTGGTCTCGATAGTCTCCACCGGTATCGTCTCTACCTCTATCTCGTGGAGCTCCACGATCTCGGCCGGCATCTCCGAGCCGTCTGTCTCAATGTACAGCGTATCTCCGGATGCCATGTTGAATCCCGCCAGCTTGCCTCTCTCATTCACGCCGTGTTGTGCTCCTGGTTGGGCCCCGCAAACACACTCACACACCCCCTGCTCTGCTCCTCCGTCTCTGCTCCTTCGACAACAACTCCTCTCTCCGGCCCACCACACTTCTCGTCGCCACTATGGGCTCTCACACGCAAACATCGCGAGACTTGTCTGAAGCCATCTCTCACAGACAGGATGGTCACTAGGTTTGTTTCTAGTGTTTCTAAAAGCTTCAGAAGTCAATGCAGTCAACAACCGATCCATGTGTTTGATAAAATGTGTATTCATTGATCCTGATTGATTGATTGATTGAATTTTTATTCATGGGTATTAGTGCTGATTGGTCTTTTTGATTGACCAGCATCTACAACTGGAAAACCTACAAATCTTTCACCAAATAAAATGTCTTATTGCTAATATTGTGCATAACCTCAACATATGTTATTACAATTTCTTATTTCTTATTATTAGCAATATGGTACGTGAACTCAACATATGACATGTCATAAATTGTTTAATATTAGTAATATGGCTCATGACCTCAATGTGTGACATATGTTATTACTTTTTTTAAATTTCAGTAGTATGGCACTTGACCTCAACATACAATATGTTATTATAATTGTCTTTAATTATTTTTTGAATATTGCACATGACTTCAACATATAACATTTTATTGAAACATTTTATTTCTTTTATTATTAGTAACATGGCCCATGACCTCAAGGTGACATACTAAATAGATAAATAAAACATCAATTGGTCACCAGATTAATCTCTGGCTCCTTGTCATAGATTCTCCATGTCCATAGAACTCATGCCAACATCACATAAGCTCAATATCACCCAAATATTCAATTACATGTCTCCACCAGTTTAATTTAGTGGATGGTAATGATGGAGTATTTATCTATAGCTAATACGCTTGAGCTGAAAATATGTTAAATATAAAAATGTATTTCCTTACTAGAAGCTACAGCAACTATAGGGCCTTAAAGGAACACATATATAATATACTAATTGTACTTGATTCTTGCTGCTCTGGGTTTGCACCCTCATGGTTGAAAACACTTAATGTAAGTCGCTTTGGATAAAAGCATCAGCTAAATGTAATGTAATATAATACTTGCATGCCAATTAAGTCCACCAGCCTGCTACACTGTGTGCCTCACTTTAATAGCACAATAAGGTTTCTCAGAAACAGCTCAGATGTTTCACACTCCTTTGTGCGGCACTGGCTGTAATTTATGGCTCATATTCAACAAAAACAGCTTTTTGTGTTAAAATGAAAGAGTGAAAATAAAAATTGGAGTCAGACAGGATTCAAAATAGCACCCAGACAACACAAAAGGAATGAGATGGCCTTATTTATCCGAGACATTGTTCACAGTTTTATTTAAATTCACTTTAAACTCGTCTTTTTTGTTGTTGTCCAACCAGGAAGCACTTTGTCATAAAAGGAGAGAATAAAATGAACAATACTTCACCATACCCTTGCAGCCAATAAACATTTTATTAACAACATGATCACAAATACTCTGGTGTATTATTTCATTTTTTATACGATTGCAATATCCAAAGAAGTTTATCCCACCCTTGGTTTCAGGTCTGAGCCTGTTTTTTTCTGCCATACATAGCTGTGTTGGCCAAAAGGATAAAAAACTTTTTTTTTTTAAATGTTCTGGGAATTATGATGAGAAATATTTTTTGGAATGTGATTGCAAGTGTATCTAAAACCAAACCAAATGAAAAGAACCAATATAAAATACAAAAGGCCGACGTAAAATGATGTGCAATGATAATTATCAACATTATTGTTACTATCATATTCTCATTATCATTTCCTCATTGTTACCATTGTACTAGCTACACTACTACTACTCATATTAACATGACATAGACAATCATAAAAATGATAGCAATAATAATGAAAATGATAGCAATAATTAAAAAAACAAACAGAAGACAAATAAAATCATATACATTTTATTATTTTCCTTTGGGCCGAGGACAGAGGGGCGAGCTGGTCTGACAAACGGACAGAAAATGTTTATAAATCAGAGGAATCAGTGCGAAAGTGTGCCCCATTCACATCTTTGTCTCCAAACACACAAACCAAATGTTACACAGACACGCCTGAGGTGTTAGATCAACGTCGCTGCATTGCTTCAACACCACAGCTGAACAGGGTGAGTGGATGTCACAGTTTGGGCCTTCGTCCCTGACTTCTCCTCCTCAGGGCCACAGCAGCTGCTTCAGGGGCAAGGGTTCGAAAAGGTGGTTCATGTCGGGGAGCAGCTCTGAGAGATTATGTCGTACTAATTCGACTGAGTTCATGTCTAATGGCTGCAAAGAGAAAAAACATAGGAACAAGTTTAGTTTGACTGTTCAGGTTCTAATGTGACAAGTCAGAGATTATGTAGAGAACATAATAACTTATTGATTTCCCTATGGTTACCCAAGGTAAATACAATAAACATTTTTATAAATAAAATAAAAGCTTACTATACTATTTTAGTTAATTCAAAACAAATATTTTATAAGGTCAATCAATTTGGCCGCACTATATATATATATATATATATATATATATATACATATTCTTTTAAATGTGATGCAAATTAACTCTATAGGTTGGCATGTGAGTTGTTTGACAGCTCATCTGGAAATAACAATAAGTTTTGATTTAATGAATCTAATAAAGTTATTTATATTGTTAATATCTGTGAGAGATGATACATTATCTCTGCTTTGCTGCAAGCTGATGAGTTAAAGGTTTTCATGAAATTACAGCATTCAGTTTTCTGGGATTCTAGTGCAACCCAGTGGTCACATCTCTACATAACTACCAAACTCCCACCATCGCACTGGGTAGATTTCCCATCAAACATTCACTAGTGTATTTTAAAGAAAGAAAATATTCTTTCATTTTGATTGATTAACCCCATTTCTGTCTGTTACAAGACATAATGAAACGTACCATCGATGATTTCATCCTTCACTTTGTGCAATTCACGGAACACCTCTTCCAAGATTTCCTGGTGAAGCAAGAACAAATGACGTGTTTATGGAAAATCACATATTTCTACTTACAATAGAAATCATTGTACATGGAGAGCTAGCAAAAACATTTTTTCCAATCCAAATCATTTCTTGGGAAATTATATTTGGAGAGCAAAGGCAACACTGTCAAGAAAACACAAACCTCGTGAGTGTTAATTTAATTTTCTTTTTTTTTTACCTGTTTCATTCTATCGAGGTCTGCGTCTGTGTCACTGCCACTCCCCACGGGCCGTACCCTGCATGATAATAAAAAATAATCTCTGTTAGATTCAGTGCTGCTGCTGTGCTCCACAGACGTATCCAACACTTCCAGCTCTCACCTTGAGACCATGGACCTGTCTGCAGAGTTGGCTCGGTCCCACGGCTTTTTTGCACCATCTAGATGTTAAAGGAGCCGGGAACAATTAGATGGAATAACCAGCAGGGACTTACAAACAGTAGAACATGTGTAGATTACAGGCACACATATTTACATCAGAGGTGATTTGCATTTCTGACTCTGCTCTTGAGAGAGACATTGTTGTGTAGATACATGTTACAAAGTGAAAACCTGATTGACTTGTTTAGTAACGTGTGACACATGGAACAATTTACTCTCACTGATCATTTCATGGAGGATCATCATCCCTCTTAATACACTGATACAGAGCAGAACGATTCGATTAAGGCTGCCTGCTGTTCAGCATTTAAAAGACATTTTCTTCCACTGTGACGCGTGACTGTCTGCACGGTGTATCTTTAATTTCAAATATGTCTGACTTTACTAACACAACAGAAGATGCTCAAACCACTTGCATTATATTACACAAAACACTTCATAGAATTAGTTTTCCCCACCTGTGGCGTTCTGTCCACCCCGGGTGCTGGGTGACGGACAATTTGGATCATCCTGAAGAAAGACACAGGTATCAATAAGCATCACAACCTCATCGTCATTATGGACACTGTCATTTGTTAATAAGGTTCATTTGTGTTACATTTTTTATGTTAAATCACACGGAGCTTCTCCTCCTCTCCCTCTTCATCCCATTAAAGTCAATCAATACATGTGACTGATTTGACTTGGTGGTGGCAGCTGATCGTGGATTATGATCACATCTAGATTGCTTGAATATTCCTGCCCACATACACTAACATTATTGTCAATACCACTATGATTACAATTGTCACGGATACACTTCTCCATTTATGTTAGACATTGTCTTTTCCCATGACTCTTATAAATAATGACATAGGTTTACATGTGTATACATATCTATTGCACTTCTTTTCCTCACTCTTGTAGTAGTGATTTGTAAATATGGGCTGTACAAATTAAATGTGATTAATTGATTATGTCTGTTTTAATTTTGTATTTGATCTTGTGTCAATGGAGGACTTACAAAGTAAGAACTTCATAGTATGATGCGATGCTCATTTTACTGCACATAAGACAATTAAACCTCTTAAATTTTAACACTTGATCATTTGCATTTATTTTTCAGTCACTAATTCCTCAGTCACTTTTTCCTCACTGCACTCTGACTATGCCTGTGTGTTATTTTATCAGTTTGCATCAATGTTTTTAATCCCTATGCAAATAACTCAAATTAAGATACAGCCAAAGTGGCAGTGGCATCATTATCACACTCATCTAATCACCAGAGTCATCATCCTAATTACCGTGATAAATCTGTCAGAGAGCACAAGCAGCGTGAATCACATATCATCACTGTTCTCACTCATTCACTCACGTTTTGGCTGTCCTCCGGCTTCTCTGAGGCTGCTTTCCTTCTGGGGAAAGAAGAAACCTCGAGTAAGAACAAGGCTGAATCCAGGATTGTCAATAGTTTTAACTGGTGCAATAATGATAATGATCACCAATAGATGCTGAATCACACATTGATTAAACAATTCAGTGACCAATTATTGTCCAATTTGCTGTCAGGATATAGGTTTTGTGGTTTTCTCTATGCAATGCTCTGACCTTCGTGCCAACAGAGCGTTCATCTCCTCCATCAGTCCTCCGCTGCCTCCACTTGTTCGGTTGGCATCGTTTTTGGCGCTTGAGGAGCTGTCCTCGGGCTGAGGGGAGAGGAAAGGTAGTGCACATGTCCGTCACGTTTCGGAGAAATAAACCACTAATATTCTGAGTCATCAAAAGCCACAAGGATAAATCAGTGTCTCACTCTCTGAACGCGACGCAGTTTGGCTCCAGCGATCATCGCGGCGAGTCCCGTCTGCCCAGGCGACTCATCCCCGTGACTCCCAACACCCATGGGTAGTGGCGGTGGGAGAGGAGGCTGGGGTGCCCCTGCTGAGGGTGGTGGAGGTCCCGGCGGTGGTGGAGGGGGAGGAGGGCCGCCCATGTTCATTGGGGGAGGTACTACTGGTGGGGCCACAGAGAGCACAGCAGGGTGGCCTTGGAAAGGAGAACCTTGAGGGAGAGTGTGACACATTTTTTTTTATATGTACCTGCACTTAGATAATGATTAAACATATTTTACTAAACAATAAAATTGTTTCACTATATAAATGCCAGTCGACTTATGTGAGTACCTGAGTTGGAGGTCCGTCGCTCCCGCTCCATGTGCGCCTGCATCTGCTGCTGCTGCTCCATCATCTGCCTACAGGGACAGGAAGAAAACACACAGTTGGTCACTTAATATCACAAACCACATGTCTTATCTGTGATTCTGTCATTTTTATCGGCCTGAGTTCAGCCGACACTCTCATACTGGCGACCAGAGAAAAGTCCTCCTGTCTTCAAACCACACTGGGACACTTTAAATGTCAGCACGCCCAAAGCACAGTGATTAAAACGATTTCTAATCCAGAAATCAAACGACCAGTTGTGCACCAGCTATAGATAGATGGATAGATGGGTAGATGGATAAACGGATATACAAGTAGACAGACAGATAGATAGATAGATGAGAGAAATGGATAACTATGATACGTCCTGATCTTGGAGTTGCAACTAAACTATGCTGTTTTTTTAGGGCAACTTTATTTTCCAAGGTTTCTAGATTTTGTGGAAAATGTGGGATGGGTTTTTTTTCTGTTTCTGTCACTTTGCTGCAGGCAGCTTTGATTTGTGCAGTTTGTAGACTCAACATGACTTGAAGTCAATGACTAGTCTACACATTTCGGATGATGTTTTGACATTTTCCATTTTAACGTTACAGCTCTAAGTAAAACGTCTTTCCACTCGTCTATCCAAACCCGCTCCCCACTTTATCTGCCTCCATCTCACCGCTGCCATTGAACCTTCCTCATCTCTACTCTCATCCCTGTGTTTGATGCTAGAGCCATATGTATGTCACCACTCAGGAGAGAGAGACAGAGAGAGAGAGAGAGACAGCTCATGGAGAGGAAGTAGAATTTTCCAGCTGTGTTTTGAAGTGCTGAGACAGCAACCTGACCGACGTGACAGCAGCCCACACAGCGGGAGCACTGCTGCTGAGTAATACCTCCTCGCTACCACTGGAGAGAAGTCAAATTAATTTGCATCTGCTGACACACACACACACACACACAAAAACCCACACACATAAGCACACAATCTCCCCTCACAATCACAACTGTAATCCTTTGTGCCTGAGGTACAGTTTAGCAGACATGGGATCAGATAGAGCTGTAACTCCCATTATATTTGTTCTTTTAAGCCCTGGCATTTGGCATTTGGATGAACCAATAGGCAGAGATGAAACAGGTTTAAAAACAGCAACAAAGACCTAGTTGTGTCTGAGTGTGTCTCTGAAGGGGTAAGAGGAACAGTAGCCACAGTGGAACAAATGTACGCTTGCTTAGTAAACCATGGAAACTGCCCCGAGCAGCATTTTAAATACTACTCCATTTTCCATTATTTTTGGATTCTACAATCTGCCACTACAATTCAAAATAAAAAGGGCCTTCTTGTGTTAGAGCAGTTTTTTTTAAAGCTCACTGTCTGAGTTAGTACTGTAATGGCATATTAAAGGGGAGGAGAGAGATGAAAGAGGATAGGAATAAATGTCAATACTCTCTCTCTCCGTGTGACAGGTTGTCAGACACATGGGAGTGCACCATCTACCCTAATCCTAACCATGCTAACACATGCTGTTCAGACTGAGTTCACTTACAGTTCATCCACTAGTTTGGAGATAAGTCAGTAAAATGTCCACAGATACCTGAGCTGAAATACGAGGAACCTCAGCAGTAAACATTTTGGGAGCAGACAGTAAATGTCACGGCTCTAAATATAGAAGAGGATCATTTATCTCCTTTCAAAATTCAGTTCTCAGTGGATATGTTTTACCTTGCTCTCTGAACTTCTATCTCATCTGAACTCGGCCCATTCTGGACTTGGCGCTGGACAGCTGGACCTGAAGAAGAAGAAGAATGAAGAGTGAAAACAGAGTAAGAACGTGAGATGGATAAAGTGAAGCTAAGCTCAACAATCCATCATGAGCTTTACAACCTTAATGAAGATTTGTGCCAGTCAAGACAATTAACGCCCCACTGACAGGGAATTAAACAGCAGTTGATGATGAAGTCCTCTTTCTTCAGTAATGTGAAATGAAAAGCAGATCAAGCCCTCACTCTAGGTAAATGAACATAAATTGATATTTTCCGCTTTTCTATCATGGGCAAGAAGAACATGATACGGTGCCACAGCTCAAGACTGAGGTGCTAAGCCCTGACGTCACACTGCTCTTCTGTTACCCACAATGCTCTATTAGGGATACATGATGCTCCATTTGATTCTCAATATTCTCTGAGAAGACTATACCCGTCACGCACAAGTGTACATGCACCGTTGTCTGGGTATCGGTGTCTTTTGACATATTTAATTTAGTTAAATGTAAAATTGAGCACAAACACGCACACACACACACACACACACACACACACACACACACACACACACACACACACACACACACACACACACACACACACACACATACATTCACAAATCAATCAGAGACAAATGATATTCTGCAATGAAAAGCCATTTTCTGAGACGTGTTAGGGAAAGTAAAAATAGAGCGGGTGAAGGGAGTTACAAGCGAACACTCTTTAGTTGAAAATAGAGAAAACTCAATTGACTGTGGTTGTTGACGCTGCAGCTTCTGGAGTCCACCTTCACTCATGGGACAACGTTTTTATAGCTTTCAGGCAAATCTGTCACTTTTTGAAAATACTGCATCTTCCTTCCTGCTTTCATCAAAATCAACAAGGACTATTTTGTCTTAAATGACCTGAAGTCACTTAATTGAAGTTGAGAAGTCACAGAAGAGGACCCTCAAAATCAAGGATCTGTGACTCTCTCCAGCCCCCCCCCCTCTTGTTTACGATGCGACACAAGCTGCAAGGCTTTTGAGATTTAATCCATTTAATACCACGAGTGAGGCCTCTCAGATGCAGAGCCAGATAGGGAGCATAATCAATTTTAGACACGACAAGATGAGGACGAGAGGACGTCATGCTCATGGAGAACAATCAAATTGGAGTGGATCATCAGTTTTCACATCACTGAACTCCTCTGGGACAACACTAATCTTCGTTGTTCCTCCTGAGAACGACTTCACAAGAAAGGTTCTGAAATTAACACTTGTCTTGGCATTGGTCTCTTTCTGTAATTTAAAAATATCTTGAAGTCTTAAACCTTTTCAAAGTTACAGGACCAAAGACGCAGTGAAAATACTTTTATTTTGTTGATTTATGATTTCTTTCCTTGTACGTGCTAATGGGGATTGTTGTAGAGGGTAAAAACACAAAAACATTTGTGTCCTCCAAAGACACTGTAACCGTCCTGTCTAATGAAACTTGTCCCGTACATCACAGTTTTACAGCTCGACACAGTCGGGCCCTTTTCTGGGTCAATGCTCACTGGTGATTCTCTCCCCTGCTCACATCTCTAATGGAAGTGACTCTGAGCCAATGGTGCTAATGGCTGCCATTGATCAAGTAACAGATACTCCAAAATAACACGGGACTACAAAAGACCTTACTCATGCCTACTATCAGATACCGTATCCTACACACACACACACACACGCACACACATTTACGCCCGCTCCTGGTATTTTACTTGTTTACACTCACAGCGTGTAGTCTATGATAAAATTGGTTTCTGTTTTTGTTGGTTTCTGCAGTTACTTGACCAAAGTCAGATTTTTAAACTGCACATTATTTTTGGTTTAGAACAATAGATTCCAATTGATCTCTTTTACAATGGGCACAGACTGAAGGTAATTAATTGAATCCATAAAATGTCAAGAGAAAGTGGAAAATCGGCATAATCTGTTGAAAAAGAGTGAGTAAAGGAAGCAATTATAGCAGACTATGTTTTGAGTCTTTATTTTCCTTTTACAAATCTAGTTTAATATATCACAGTGGAAATAAAAAACATTAGTATGTAAATTGTGGAGTGGCTGACAGCCTTCAAAGAGGAAAGGCACAATCTAGCTTTATTTTATTTATTTTTTTTAATATGTAGATGTAAACTTTGTCCTGTCTTTCGAAAGTTGTGATCACATCTCAGGGCGCACTGAAAACTCATTTGGGATCACTCAGGACAGATGTTAACACCAGATCTGAACGGATTCATAATCAATCAATCAAAAAATTCTCAAAATAAATATGTTGAAAAATAGCACTTTATATAATGCATTAATGATACCTTAAATAATACTTTTCATTAAGAGCCATGTAGAAAAGTGCAGTGCTTTAACTTGTGTTATAAGCAGCCAAACAAGATGTTGTTGGCTTCATTTACGTTATGATTGTCATGTAACTTTAGAATAACAGTTTAACTATAATAACAGCCGATGGCCAGACTAACTGTCCAATCAGAGTCACACACTTGTAGGAATGGACACTGCAACTGTTGAAGTACGAGGTACACACACACACACACACACACACACACACACACACAAACACACAAACACACACATACAACACACACACACACACTTAGAATGATAAAGTTGTCACACAGAGGTTCAAACACAGACACACAGAGCTTTACTACCTACATGACATGCTGAAGAAGAGGAACCGGCTGTAGCAGACACAGAGGCACTGACAGACCCACTCCCCGCTGACCATCTCTCGCCTTCGGCTACTTTCCCTCCTCCTCCTCTTCCTCCCCCTCCATCACATCCCTCTCTCTCCTCACCTGTGTTTCTCCCCTCCTCCACCCAGCCACTGTATCATCTGTCATCTTCTTGTAATCCACACCTCCCGGCAGAGGCAAGAGCAGCAGCAGCAGCAGCAGCGCAGCGAGCAGCTCTGGTTAATGTTTCAAAAGGTCGTGTTTGTCTGTAGGCTGTGCGGCCTGATGCGATGCACACACACGCACATACTGCAGGAGGCTCATCCTAATGTATCTCTGTGTCAGACTGAGCGTCACACATTTAGATCTTGAATGGAACTGCTTTTCCCAGGTTGGGAAATTAACAATGGGAATATAAAATCTTAATTTTCACATGCTGTAAAGAATTAGGATGGAAAGCTTCAGATGCTTGCAACTAAATAGAACTTGTGCTGACATTTGTGACAACTACTGTTGTCCAACATCCAAAATCAAAAAAAATGTCTGTAATTAGTCAATAAATTATTTACTCAATCAAATGTCATAAAAATAATACAGAACTGAAATAGTTTGCATTTGTATTTTCTCAAAGCACCTTACAGTATAGTTTCTGCCATTTACACACATTCAGTAAGTAAGTGTATGTAAATGTGTATGTGCAGCAGTTCTCTGTCAGGGGCAATTTGAGGCACAGTAGTTTGCCCTTGGAACACATGAGGGAGACTCAACTGGAAGTGAACCACTGACCTTCTGGTTAGTGGATGACCCACTCTACCTCCTGAGCTCCAGCACACAAACGTTAATAGACTCTAACACAAAGTAATAAAAAGCAGGTGTACAGGAGGTCTGCTCTTAATTCATCTTGGGCTAATTGAACCAGCTTGACTGATGATTAAATAATGATTGGACCAAAACTGTCATTAACTCATGCAGTTTGGTCTAATCTACATTCTATAAAATACAGCTTCCCCCTAACTTTGAATAGGGTAATAATTTTGTGATGTACACATGTTATAGTGTTTTAATTTTCTTTTGTTATATTAATAAAGTGATACGAAGTTGTGGAAGTTTGTATCGTTTTGAATCATTACAGCCCTACTTAATATAATCAATATCACATAATCCTCAATATGGATTGGATAGAAATAAACACTATTCTTTAAGTTTTCAAGGCCACATTTTTTGTATATTTACTTGATTAATGACTTGACAGAATTAATAAACCTGGAATCACTTCATGATTTCAACACAGAAGCAGAATCTTGTGGTTGGCAGTGAGTTGGAGTATTAAAATACTCAGGTATAGGTAAAATACCAAACTCTAGTATTTTATTGCCCATTATTTGTGCCACAATCTCAGTGTTGTATTATTGAAAAAAGATTTTGACCTCCTTGCCACTAGAGGGTGTAGGCACACATGCTTAGAGAGTGAGTCACATTCTGATCTTTGCTTTACAAGGTGTTAAAGTGTCTTATGAAAGCTGCTATTCACGCAAAGTGTATGTGATAGTGGAAGGATAATGTTTCCTCCCATGCAGCTGAGGCCACTGCTGTATTTTAGCAAGCTTCTAACATTGAGGCGTTTAGTCTATGTGTGTGTCAAGTGTGTGTGTCCCTCTCTTGTGTGATTGTGCACTTGTGTTTGGCTGATGTCACTCGAGCCTCTTTGTTCCTCGTCCCCGTGTTGTTAGACAGATGAAAAGATCCGCTCTCTAGCACAGCACCCAGGGGAGATCGTCTCAATGACTCACTCTAATTAAGAGGCTTGAGGGGACGGCAGGGGGAGTCACACACACACACACACACACACACACACACACACACTGCTACTGCTGGAGTTATGACAGGCAAGCTGAGTCTCTAATTCTATCACTCTCCAATTTATATTCACAGAGAGCTCAACACTGCCACACATCCATTATTAACACAACCTGTCCTGTTCAGCAGCGACATGCCAAAAGACGACAAAAGATTTCAGCTATTCTTAGACGTGACTGGCTGCAGTGCCCCCTTATCTATTTTTAATAACACTATGACGACATATGTCACAGTAGAAAGGCTTCGCTGATGCTCTGTAGGTGAGCATCTGTACTCGCTTATGATTTGCTGAGGATGCTGTGTCATGACTTATATCCAAAAGTGTCCAGCAGAGGGGACTAGGTGTCAAAATGAAGCTGATCTATATTCATACTCTGATCGGGTCTGATACACAAAGACAACAGAGAAGTCACAGGAAATGAAGGGATGAGAGAGAAGAAGGATGAAAAAGCAACAAGAATTCTCAAGATCTGACTGCATTACTGATATGCAACATGTTAATATTTGGCTTCATTTATTTACCATCGCATCAACTCTATCTCTTCCAGTAATTTGACGAGTTGCTATTTCAGAGAAAGTTTCCTTTCAGGTCTCCTGTCTGAAAGAGGACTTTTATGAGAGTCAGGACAAACACTTCATCTGCTCACATGTTTGGTGACTTGAGTTCAGACTGCAAATGTGCTGTGAGCTGATCTGTTCCTCTTAAACAGGGGGTAAGATGGAACCAAGGCTTAGGTCATCAATGGTTAACAATGAGTGTGTGTGT